TCAACCAATTCAGAGAAATTACTTTTATAAACATTGCCTTTTCTCTTTCCTTTGAACACTATGGACTTGTCTGACTCATTCATGATTATTCAATTGTTCTTATTAATCACGACTTCATAGCTACTATCACAAAATTGACTAATGCTTAGTAGGTTATATTTTAGCCATCTACTACCAAACATTATTAATAAAGATAGAGGAATTACCAATAGTTCTCGTACCAATGATATTTCCTTTATGGTTTCCTCCAAATCCCACAGTTCCTCCCTCTTTTAGAGTCAGGGTTTGGAACATATGTTTTTCTCCTGCCATATAGTGTGAGCAACCACTATTCAGGTATTGTGACTGCTACTTTACTTGTCCCTTGAAGCATATTTGTTGCAAAAACAATTGTAGATTTACGTGGCCATAGTTTTATGGGTCCTTTGGGGTTAGTTCTAATAAGCTTATTCTTACTTTGTAACTTAGCTCTCATATAGTAAGGTTTAGGACCATTCAAGACTTATGAATTACAATTTTGATGTCTTGAATGCATCTTAGCCTTTGGTTCTAAACCTTTCAGAACCTTACATCCCGATGTCTTAGGTTCTAAATTCTTTAGAACCTTTGACTTTAGAGTCTTAGGTTATGGTTTCTTCAGAATCTTTGACTCAATAATTTTAGGTCCTTACTAGTTTAGAACCTTTGCTTTGTCAGCAGCGAGCACAAAATAGGAATCTAGCCCTTTATGAGCACAACTTGAAGAAGAAGGTTTTGTTGGTTTAATTAAGGTTTCAGACCTTGGATTAAAAGGTTTTTGAGAATAACCAAGATCTTCTCATTTGCTTCTACTTACATCATAAATCATGGATGCAAGTTTTGTTTTATTAAATCTAGTTATGATAAACTCCTGAAGATCCATTTCATACTCATCAAGGGGTTTGTCATACATTTATTTTACTAGAGCAATATGATCTCTTTCTAAATCTTTATTTTTCTAAAAGAATTCTTGTTGCTGCACCACGAAAACGGTAACACCCCATTTAAAATATTTAGTCATCGTGTATTATTTGTGATTTTATTGACTTAATTAAGGGTATGTGGTTAAGTGTGAGAGGGAGAAACTAGCCTTAATTGAGTAATATGAATAAAACTTTAGAATAATATGATAATGATAATTAATTAATAAGGAATGTGATATATTAGTAATATTATTTTTATTATTATTATTACCATTATTATTATTATTATGATTGTTATTATTATTATTATTATTAGTAGTAGTAATATTATTATTAGGAGTTAATTAAGTGAGATAAAAACAAAATTAGAGAGAGATTAACAGAGTTTTGAGAAATAATTGCTAGAACGTGAAAGAGGAAGAGAAGGAAAGCTAGGGCAAGAAGAACTAAGGTTTCTACCATTGTTGAAGGGGGAAAGCTCAAAATTCAGGTAAGGGGGAGAATGTGATTCATTAACGGTGATAATAACATGAGAGGGTAGTAAGGGTTCCTTTCCCTCTTAGAATTTTCTGTACATTCTTCATTTTCCTTGTCTGATTGCTATGATTGTGTGATGGTTGCTGTTAGTTTGTAAATGTGTATTGACTGTGTGTATGAATATGTGTTGTATGTTGATTTCGAATGAAAAATTCGTGCAAGTTTGGTACTATTGTTGCTAGGTTCTGATATGGAACCAAATCTGAAAATTAGGGTTTTTAGGGGTTAACGAAAATGGACTATAATAATAGAAAATATTGAAAAGAATAATGAAAAATGATGTTGAATAAACCCACTAAAGATAGACTAGTGTAGTTGTTGTTTTTTGGTCGAAATCAGGAGCTTGAAGGTGCTCCAATGGGGGAAAATCGCACTGATGTGAAATTGGGGATTTTTCTGTGCAGGCAAGTCAATACGCGTAACGCCCAGGGCAACACGCGTATGAGGGATACTCCCAGGGGGTAATACGCGTATGATACGCACCCGTCCTCAGAGCCAGCACGACCCTCTGCTGGTACGCGTATGGTGGAGTTGCCATACGTGTATGGCAAGGTCAGTACGCATATGGGTAGCTTTTGGAGGGGGCATACGCTTATAGGCTAGCCATTACGCGTATGGGGAGTTTTGGAGGAGTTTTGATAGGGAAACCCTCTCTGGCCATACACGTAAGGCCCAAATCAATACACGTATGGATGCCCTGCCCAGATGAGCCCTACGCGTATGACACGTAGGCCTGAGGCGTAGGGAGATGGCCATACTCGTATGGGCAGAGCTGTGGTGAAAATTTTCCGTTTTCGCGATATTTGTCCCAATTTCGCGTGTAATGTAATTTCTCTTGACCCATAAGACTAAGATGGTATAATTGAATATAGGGGAAAACAATAACAACATTAAATAGGATTTTTACGTGATGGTCTCTATGAGACGTGTTTGACGATTGCGTGCCAAGATTTTTCGTATGTGGACGGTCTTGGCCTGTCGTGGTAATTCTGGAGGGAATTACGGTGAGTATGTGGCTCACGTGTGATCATTGAGGATCGTGGCTTATGCATGAGTTATTATTATTATTATTGTGCATAATTTTGTATCATGCATTCATGTCATGTTATGTGGAGATGAGATAGATGGGAATCCATGATGGGTGCCTAGTCTCATCCGGACTTCATGTGGGAGTCGTGTGGAGATAAGTTGTAATTCAGAGGAATGTATATGATTTATCCGGATTCCGACCAGAATCAGGTTCTAGGGTGAACAGTATGTGATTGTGATGGTTCCACATGCATTGTGTCGTGTCATTTGAGTCGCTTTGCATATGTATATGATTGAATGTGGGCTGAATATGCAAAGTATTAATGTGGCACTTGTACGTATGTTGTGATTGTATGATTGATGTGTTTGTGTGATAACTACTCTTTGGCATGTGATTTTCATCGTGTATTATTGAATGTAGCTCTCACTCTTTTTCTGTTTGTCGTGTTTGTGCTCCTTGGGGAGTACAGATGATCAGGTATCTGAGTAGTGCTTGGAGCATGTGTTGCTATTTGATCGAGTCGTAGGAGTCACTCTAATACGTAACACGGGAAGGATGAGGGTTTCATATTTTTTATATATTATTTGACATTGTATTTGTTACGTATCTGGTTTTGATTAATGTTGTTAAACCACGTATTATGTGGAGATTTGATGTAATTGGAGTTTTAATGTTAAACCATTTGAATTAATTCCGCTATTTAATCAAATTATTTGTTTTTATTAATGAATAAGATATGAAGCGATTTGATACTTCATGTTGATGTTTGATGATGTGACATCCTACGTGTGTATCTATGATTAATTTTTGTATTTATTTTTCGCATTTTTAATTATCATACGAATAGGTAGAGCAGTATGTTACAAAAAGCCTCTAAGACAACTATTCTGGGTCTCCCACGTCCTAAAAAAGGGAAGCTCAATCATCAGTTCAAAGTCACTCCACCAAGGTGTTAAAAGCACACTGCAACCTTACTCCGAAGCCCCACACTAAATCCACGCATGGACTACCACATACTGTTAGATATCATCAGATAATATCCCATATTCTACATCCATAAACAAGGGATGTCCATAAGTGTCCCTAATATATGAGATATCCACGTGAAACATAAGGACTTCTCTGAACCGTAACTCATATTTACTCTTCACTCTCTTTCTAACTTGACGTTGGAGAACTAATTTTGCATGTTCACCCCTACATTGCCGCATCAAAACTCTATTATATCATTTCATCAAACATTTATGGTTTCGTAGCTAAATAATTTAAAAATCAAAATGAATTTAATAAATTAAAGACCAAATATGTATTATAGTTTAACATTAGTATTTATGAGCTCATATTTAACTTTATTAATTAATAAATACAAAGACTACTGAGAGTAGCGGTGACTTGAATCTAGTCTTTGGAAGATTAGAACAAGACGAATCTTGTCAAGTTGCTGTGGAACTTGGGTAGCAAAAAGGATAGATTGTGGATTAAGTGGGTGCATACCTACTATTTCAAGGGGGAGGCCTTGTTGAATCTACGTTATCGCAAAATGTTTCATGGATTATTAAAGACATTCTGAAGCAAAGAGACATTATGCAGAATATGACTGATTGGAACCTGATGGAAACTAAATATGAGACCAAGAGAGTTTATGAGTACATAAAGGAGGAGGTCCCGAAAGTTGATTGGAGGTACTTATTTCATAAAACTCTAGCGTGCCCTAGGGCTTTGTTTGTATTTTGCTTGGCATGTCATAATAGGTTGGCTACAAAGGAGCAACTTAAAAGATTTGGTATGTTGGCAAATGACATTTATAGCTTTTGCTCTCAAGTGGAGACAATAAAACATCTCTTTTTTTTTTTGACCTTACTTGAGTTTGATTTGTAAGCAAGTTCTCATGTGGATGAATATTACTCGTGACCCTAAAGGTTGGAACGATGAGCTTAAGTGAATGATTGATTATAGGAAGGGGAAGGGATGAAAATCTTGTCTTATCCGTAGTGCAATGGCATGAAATTTGGAGACATAAAAACAATAAAAGTTTTGGTAATAATATGAATAGTTAATACATTAAGAGTATAGTTATAGATACTCTTTCTTATAGAAGGTGGTGTAATCCAAAACTTAGAAAATAAATTGCTAATCTAATTGTGGATTAGCGCTCGATTGTTTTGGTTTTGTATTGCAAATATTTCTATTTGGTTTAATAAAGTTTTTTATTAAAAAAAAAAAGTTAATAAATACATAGTAAATATAGTTTAAAAAAATAAATAATAATAATAATAGAAAGTATATATAAAGATTATTTGAAATGAAATTGTGAGGGGAGGAACGAAAAAACAAACGATATTTGGGAAGGAGATTCCGCTAATGGTGCAGATCAAAACCAGAGGGATTGGTCGTTTTGTGTTTTCGTCGAGGATTTTGGAATGGGGCGCCAAATCCCAATCCCAATCCAATCTCCACCGTAGTTCCCTTTACCTTCACCACGGCAGCCACTCATGGATCATCACGCCCACGGACACAACCCTCCTTCTGAACCCGCCACTCCTACCACCCCAAGACCCACCCTCTTCCTCTCCGCTTCCGGCAAGGCTCTTGTCGTTTCCAACTCCAACAAAAATCTCATAATTTCCAATTCTGGAAAACGCCTCGATAACGTTAGTAGCAAGAAAAAATATGTCAAACAGGTCACCGGTCGTCACAATGACACCGAGCTTCACCTCGCCGCTCAACGCGGCGATGCCTCCGCCGTTAGGCAAATTCTCGCCGAGATTGATGATCAAATGACCGGAACCCTAAGTGGAGCCGAGTTTGATGCTGAGGTTGCGGATATAAGGTCTGCTATCGTCAATGAGGTCAATGAGTTGGGTGAAACCGCTCTGTTCACCGCCGCTGATAAAGGTCAGTTCGATATCGTCAAGGAGCTTCTTCCTTATACCACCGGAGAGGCGCTTTCTTTCAAAAATCGCTCTGGCTTTGATGCCTTGCACATTGCAGCAAACCAAGGTTACAAAGGTATACTTACGATCGATGAAGCACGAACACCTGAAACGTTACACCATGCTGACACGTCGACACCATGCTATACATTTTTTTTTAGAGGTGTCGGTTACTTATAATTGACATAAGCATTTGTTTTTTTGTTAGTTTATATTATACAATCAACTTGTGACATGTTCATAAGCTGTTCTTGAGTTATTTACATAAGGGCTTCATAGTAGTTTATGAAAACAACTTATATGTTATGTGAAAACAGTTTATTTGATATTATATATTTAACATAAGCATTCATTTGATAAGGGATTAATTAGGTTGTTTATCCAATGAGCCAGGTTATGGTTTTGTTATTGGTTGCTAGTTGTTCCTTTAGACACTGGTTTTATATATTATTGTGTTGTGACAGATATTGTGCAGTTGCTGCTAGACCATGATCCTGGGCTAATCAAGACAGTTGCACAGTCAAATGCAACTCCTCTTATATCTGCGGCTACAAGAGGGTATGCAGATGTTGTTGAACTTCTACTATCATGTGATCCTAGTCAGTTGGAGATAGCTAGATCCAATGGAAAGAATGCACTCCATTTAGCTGCGCGTCAAGGTTATGTTGATGTCGTCAAGATTTTGCTAGGGAAGGACCCGCAGCTTGCTCGAAGGACTGATAAGAAAGGACAAACTCCACTTCATATGGCTGTCAAAGGGGTTAACTGTGAAGTGGTGAAGTTGCTTCTCGCTGCTGATGCTGCAAGTGTCATGCTTCCTGACAAGTTTGGCAACACTGCATTGCATGTAGCCACCAGGAAGAAGAGGGTAGAGGTAATCTCGTGGCTGCTCAACTTTAAACAATGATATGATACATACAAATGTATAACTGTAAAACTATGAGGACTTTACTAGTTATATATAATCCTGTAGTTTTTATATATGCAATAATGCCTTTACTTTGAGAAATATATCATGTGTGATTTTAATTTGAAGAGTGAAGTAGTTATGACTTACAAGAATTCATGCAGATAGTGAGTGAGTTGTTGCTTCTTCCTGACACAAATGTGAATGCCCTCACAAGAGAGAACAAAACAGCTCTTGATTTTGCAGAAGCACTTCCAATATCCGAGGAAATTTTGGAGATCAAGGATTCCCTTATTCGTTATGGTGCAGTTAAAGCCAATGATCTCAACCAGCCAAGGGATGAGTTAAGGAAAACCATGACACAGATTAAGAAGGACGTTTCTTTGCAGCTTGAACAAACTCGAAAAACAAACAAAAATGTGAGTGGTATTGCCAAGGAATTACGCAAGTTGCACAGAGCAGGAATCAACAATGCCACCAACTCTGTAACTGTGGTTTCTGTGCTATTTGCAACAGTTGCATTTGCGGCACTTTTCACGGTCCCCGGCGGGGATGATTCTCATGGGATGGCTGTGATGGTGCACACTGCATCTTTCCAGACCTTTTTCCTCTCTAATGCCATTGCACTTTTCACTTCATTGGCCGTGGTTGTGGTTCAAATAACAGTTGTTAGAGGGGAAATAAAGTCCGAGAGGAGGGTTGTGGAGGTGATCAATAAACTGATGTGGTTAGCCTCTGTCGGCACCTCAGTTTCCTTCGTTGCAGCATCTTATATAGTAGTTGGTCGGCGCAGCCAATGGGCAGCAATCCTTGTCACTGTTGTAGGGGCAATTGTAATGGGTAGTGTTCTTGGTGCAATGACATACTATGTTGTCAAATCCAAACGTTATCGAAGAGTGAAGAAGAAAGAGAAGAAAGAGAAGATCTCAAGGAATGGGACATATTCATGGCATCTTTCTGATTCTGAATCCGAAGTAAATCCGATTTATGCTATTTAATACATAGAATGTAAGTTGGATGCTTTTGTTCCATGCTTTTTTTATTTGACAAACATTGAAAAGCAGTCCTCTAAGGTTTCTTTTGTTTATAGAGGGAAAAAAAGATGGCTTTTATGGATGTATATGGCTTCTTGGTGGTGTTTAAAATTGAAAGACCTAAGAGAGCCAAATCGGTCAGTCACATTTTCTTAAAAGGTTGGTTTCACTTCCGACATTAGTTGTCAAATCTATCATCTATGCTGTGAGTGAACATAATATTTTGTCCTTGTTTTGTTAGGTGTAGTCAAAAGCGGTCGAAAGCATCATAAGAGGAAACAACCAGCTCGTGTTGGTGGAGAAGAAATCCGCTGCGAGGTCCACATCCTTGATCTCTTAGCTAACGCCTACGTTGTTTAGGCGAGGAACACACCTTTATCACCTTCTGAAACCTACACTATGTCAATTTTAATTGTTGATTGCTGAGAAAATAGTCCAAAAGGAGAACCATCAAAAATTTAAATTAATAACTATGATGTTAAAGAAGATAAAATAATCATATTGTTCATAAGATAAATAGGTGAGGTAGAGAATTTTGTAAGCAGACAGAATTTAAGAAAGTTGGCCACAAGGCTGAAAGTTACTTCTTAGGAATTAAGGGATGCGGGTTGATTCAAATTATCATTTATATCTAATGTAAATATGAAAGTTGAATCATATAATGGTTGCATGATACACTATTGGAGTAGGTTGCTCGGTTTGTGAGCTCACCCGAAGAGTTTTAAGGAGATCTAAAGTTCTGAAAACTAACATAACCACTAACTTATAGCTGCTAACATATGAGCATTTACCTATAAAATAGAGGGGATTACTTCTCTCACCTTATGTAGTTAGAAACATGCTATATAAATTCGTAAATGCTCCTGTCAATCTGGAAATGTACTTCCGGATACATCTCATATACACGAAATTCATGCGTAAGCGAGACATATCCTCATTTTGTCAAAAATAATAGTTGAAATTTGTAGGATTTGTTTTTATATGTGTACTACACAAGGGATAATAAGTCAAAACATGTTCCTTTTATCAAAGGAGGCTATAGTAGTATGTGATTTCAAACATGCGCTTCTATAGAAACAGAATGCCCTAAAAAAAGTTAATACTCAAAGGTGGTAAAACCTGAGGAAAACATAAGAAAAATCACTGCTGATGACCTAGAGAACCAGATAGAATTAAATTGGTAAGAAAATGGCAATTAGTTATAGATATGTCTCGGTGAAATTTCCCAAGAAAAATTCATATACAGGGCCTGGATTTAAGTAACGATACACCAAATTCAGCATCAATACACCCTTCAAAATCTTATTTTTGTTAAATTTTCAAGCTCTAGTGTTGGAAAGAAATCAACCTCATAGGTAAAAGGACTTTTCAGTTTATCCGGATCATGAATAGCGATGGCAATGAACAGGATATTATAATACACGTTCTCATACATACGGTTTAAACAAAATCTTCGTATCCAAATCCGCACCTGCGTGGGTATCAATGTTTATATCCGTATTCAATGAGTATCTAAATATCCATACCATTTATCCGCATTTTTAATAAAAAATAATATAGCATCTATAATTCGGCAAGTTATTTTAAAATTTTAACAACATTAAAAAAATTCAAAAAAAATATTGTTGATATTTTAAAATTTTAACAACATTAAAAAAATTCAAAAAGATATTGTTGAGTTAAAAAACAAACAAACATTTATATTAAAATGTGTTCAAGTTTAATAGTGATTTATTTAATAAAATTGATGAATTAACTTGTATACGTAATAATAAAAGTAAAAATATATAAATATATATTGTGTAGGTATGAGCGGGGTGGGTACTAAAGTATCTGTACCTACGTCTATTCCCGTTTATTTTCATAAATAATTATCCGTGTTTATGTCTATGTTCAATTTATAGATTTTTATCCTATACATTATAAATAATTTTTGTGGGTGCCCACAAGAGATAAATATAATTGTTAGCAATGGAAACAATGACACCAAGTGTCTTTCACATGAAAAAGAAAACAAATTAATTAAAAATAAATTGGTGAAAACAAATCTTATGAAAGTGTACTATTGTTTTTTTAATAAAATGAGAGTGTGATTCAGTTACGTGTGAATTTGATGTGGGTTTGAAAGTAATTTTTAAAATTTTGAAGTATTTTCAGTTTTTTACATGGGTGAAAGAGGGGAAAAAGTAATGTACAACATTGAATAGGGACATGTATTGTTAATTTTAAAAGGATTTCTTAATCCATCGTGTGAAAATACTAAAATGCCAATTTTTGAAGATATATTTCTAGACGCATTTTATATATTTTTTAAGCATTATGTAAAAATACTAAAATGCCTTAAGTTTTTAAAAATGTATCTCCAGACGCATCTTAATACACATATTTCATTTGTTTCTGAGTCATACTCTAATTTTATAAATAAATTTATTCTAAAAATACATTTTTGAAAAGTTTCTGAAAATATATTCTCTAAACCTACCGGAAAAAAAACAGAAGTCTATATGGTAGGAGAATCATCACTATTGGGTTGTTAAAAATATTTGCCTTCAATTATATTTGTTTAAAAAGTATAGAAGTTTAAAGATGGGAACAACTTTACTGATTTTTCTAGTAGCTATTTTACTCTTTTGAAGAGTTTTATGATCTTCATATTGATATTTATCAAACATTGTAGAGTTGTTTTCATCTGTCCGTTTATACCATGCTTCAATATTATTAATTTGCACCTACATATTTTCATATAGACTTCTGCTACCTTATTTGAAATATAATGTCATTTTCCCTCCACTTTCACTTGGTTCGGCAGATTTTACTATTTTATAAATTTTTGTTTTTTTTTCCTAATAGATTTCGAAAATATATGCTCTGAAACTCTTTAAAAATGTGTTTCTTAAATAAATTTATTAATAAAATTGAGATGTGATTTAAAAACGAATAAATACATTTAAAAATATATCTTTAAAATTTAAAAATATTGCTAAAAAAAGATATTGCTGTACTATAAAAAAATCGTCAATTTTAATTTATACGCCTATGTACAATTAAAAAAAAAGCCATCGATGGCTATTTCCACACCTCAAAATTAAGATCTATATTACTGAGAAGCTCTTATGACACTGAATTTCCGTTTGAGCTTTAATAGATGCAGAGAGTTTGAAGATGAAAAAAAATATTGACGATGATGTTGAATTGTTGAGATATTTTTTTAACAAAAAAAAGTAATTACTAACAGTAAAATTTAAAGAATCCAAACATGTATTTTGTCAAATATAAATCATGCAAGAACCACTTTATTTTGTACTCCGATAGATTGATTGAAAAATCAATAATTTGTTTGTTTCAAAAAGTATGGATAGCCTAATCAATAGACACACCAAAACTATCAAGTATTATGCCCTTAGAAATGTTATTTCCATTCTTAGATTATGCGTTCTACACTTTTTAAAATTTGAAAATATTATTTTTGTATTTAGAGATATATTTTCAAACACATATAAAATTATACAAGTTTTTGTAATTTTTAAAAGTCACATTGTTGTAAATAAAATATAGTCAAAAGATGTGTTTTGTATATTATTTGGGATGGATACATAAATGCATCTCCAAAGCATCTATTGTACTCATTTATAATGTTTTTATTCATTGAGATGGTTCCATTAACAACTCATTGATGTTTTCAAAAATGCATATCCAAAAATGTCAAATAAAAAATAGGATAAAACACCATCTTTCATGATTTTCTTCTTCATGTTGAAAGTTGTACTGCTAAAAAAATACAGGTGCGTGCACTCTCCCTACAAGGGCAGAGAGACTCAGATTCCTTAGTAGGTATGTGTATAACACGTATTGGTGGGACGGACTTGCTCACGGTGGCAAGAAGTCATATACGATGATGTTTGAGGTTATTTAAGGGACCAACTCACATGACGTGAGCGGCCCTGTTGATGACTGGCGCTGTTAGGACCACAAAAGGACGATTAAGTTAGTCGTGGTAACGAGTGTGGTGCTCTTTTAATTGTAGAGAATATGTATGACTTAGAGTATGTCCCTTTTTCCTGTTAGAGGAGAGTTATATATAGAAGTCTCTTGGATCTGGGGTAGTGAGGCAGATAATGGTTTACCATAGCTTAATGACCAAGGAATGTGGTCATAGAAGGACTCGATCTCCTTGAATTATGGACAGAGTTGTTTCTCTCTTTGATTGACCTTTTATCAGTTAGTCATTGTGGGACTTAACTCAGGTGAGGCACATAACTATGAGTCTATTGATGGAGTATGAGTGTAAAATGAATGATCGTTGTCGCAACTGCGAAAACACCTGGCGGAAAAAGCAGAAGAGTCGCCACCGAACGTTATTTATCCCAACGCTAGGAAAGAAAACGATCGAAGAAAACCTGAAGAAAGGGAGAAGACAAGATCATCGCAACCAAATCTTGGGTTCGGGGGTCGGTTATGCGAGAGGAAAGTATTAGCACCCCCTCGCATCCGTTGTACTCAACGGGATCCATGCTTGTTGTCTATCAAAGAGTGTATTGTCTAAAATCCTACTGCTAAACGGAAACGAGAACGAAAAAAAAAAAAGGAGACTCGATAGGACATCGTCGCCCTATGCCTAAGTATTCCCTCATGCAATGGGAAAGTCAGAGTCAACGTAGTTTGAAAAACTACGGGTGGATGGAGGAAAGGTTGCTTGCCAAGACTTCGCCGTCTTGTGCCTACATATCCTCAATCAGACGAGAATGAGGAAATCAGAGCATATGTAGTTCGTGGTTATGACCACGGGTTGTTTAGTGTTTTTTATGAGCGACGCTAAGTTCTCATTCCAATAGTTAGGGTCGATGCCTGTTTGCGGTAGAATGGAAAAGTAACGTACTCTTTCTAAAAATGGTTTGACAAACGATCTCGAAGGATGAAAAAGGTTTGAAATTTGTTTGTGAGTTTTAGAGAAGTGAATTGATTGGATTTGAGATTCACATTGCACTAAAGTCTATGATATAGAAGCGAATGCGTCGCATATCGCCCCCAGACGGGACATATGCTAAACACTCTAGACAAGTAAGGAGAGACCCCTCACTCATCATTTCTCATATACTTAAGGCTTGTGGCGCACAATGTTGATCATATTTATTAAGTGTTTTGAAGTTGTTTTGAGATGAGAAGAGAAAGACGCACGAAAGGTCTAAAGGGAAATTGGTCCTAATGTTATCATGTGAAGTGGCCCTAAGGTTGGGATGCAAAAAGAACTTCTATCCTAATGTTAGCATGCAAAAGATGGACCTAAGGTTGAGGTTAAAAGGGACTAACATAGTATTATCATGCATGGATTAAACTTCTAATGTCTATCCTATTCCAAGTTT